ACACACCTGAGGGTGATATTAAATTATTCTGTATATCTCCACACGATGGCGCAAATTGTGTCGAGGAACACATGACATCATTTTTGTGTTTAAAAAAGAGAACAGAACAGAGATCAAGATAATTCACCCCTGTAAAATCTGACCGCGGATAGTTATGCTTTATCTTTCCTTGACAGGTGGAATTTAAGGTGACATACACGTTGTCGTTGAGCGGGAAACACAAGAGACTAAGCTAACTATCTATTTTTTAAATGCAGATTATCCGGACTTTATTCTAGGGCAAGCTGTCTGATAATATCAATGAAATTCCAGATTGAAATGAAGGAAAATATGAAGGAAATGTTAGTCAACTCATTACTTTTTCCACAAGAACTTTAGCCTGATTGCATTTAAAGCCTTTAAACTCATTCTGTCCTGCTTAAGACAAAAAAAAATACACTCAATATAACTGTTAACTGTTATCTAATTATATTATGTTATATTGGTCAACAGCGAATTAAAACTTAAATTTCGCTAAGCGAAAACGGAAGTGCGCTGCGGGGAATGCTCTTGCCCATTTGGCCAATGGGGACTAAGCGGAAGAGAAAATCATCACTGCTGTGCTGCTGTCTGTCTGTGTCACATATTCAGGGAGATACAGACAGAAAAGTCGGCCTCGGTTAGCTGTGTTTACATCCAATTCCGGAGCTAAAACAACGCTAGACTGCGGGTACAGCAGCGGGGATGGAGCCTCAGGGCAGAGACGAAGGGAAGGGGCCGGTGCTGCACATCGTGGTGGTTGGATTTCACCACAAAAAAGGCTGCCAGGTACGTGAACCCATGCTCCCAGCTAACATCGGCTAACTGCTAACCGAGTCCTCACATCGAGTTGACGTAAAGGTGCATTTTCACTAAACTTCTGTACGGTACGAGTGTCAGCTTACGTGTCTGTTATGCCCTTGTTTTTTAAACAGCGCATGCACAGTCCTGCAGTAATGCGGACATTTCTAAACATAAAAACAGTAAAAACTACAGACTTCTCACTGCCTGGCTTCCCTGTCAGTGAAGAGGGGTTAAGATCAGCTGTTTGCTGTGGGCTCACAGGGTTATATAACACGAGCCCTGCTGCCAACAGTTCAGTGTTTTCATCACAGGCTGCAGCATACTCATCATCACTGCTCCTGGACCCTGCTTGTATCTGGGTATGCACAAAAATGGAGCAACAAGCCGATTAATCAATCAGTTCAGGTTTTCTTTGAGCTGTTTAGAAACATTTTCTTGGTCTCATGTCATTGTTTACTTAATATTTAGGGTTTTTTTGGTCAAAAGAAGACACTTGAAACTGTCACTATTATAGGAGTTGTTGTTTAAAAGTGAAAAATATGTTTTGTGCCCAGCTGACAAGACAGACAGAAGGCATTACTGACTCATTATTCTAGGACTGCGCTTGAGCAGATTTACATGCTAAAATGTTTTAAAAACTCCTGCTCGATCTTGCACTGGCCCTTTACAGGACTTGTCAGTTTATCCTCTGCCTGAAACAAAGTCTCTCTTTAAAGAGCCCCTTCCGTTTAAGCCTGCTGTCTCTTGATTGGCTAACTTCCAGAAGCTTGCTGAGGGGCAGTAGCACTCAGTGTTTACCTTTTTATTTTTATTTTTTTATCTTTTTAAGGATTTTTACTACATATGAAACTTTGGCCCTCCAACAGGGAGGTTTACAATATTTCACATTTGTAGCAGTTGTTTAATTGTGAAAATAATTTGTCTGACAAATCATCACCTAAGACCAAACTCTGTGTGGCCGTTAATGTAAAGTGAGCTTAACACCCCCGCTTTACTCATTCTAATTTTCTCTCATTGTTGTTTTGTTCCTCTTCTTCTGCTGCTGATTCAAATTTCATTAAATGTGCAGTTACACACTGAACTTCCTCCTCCTCCTCCTCCTCAGTGGTGGTGGTGTTGTTGTCTCCGCTCTCCATCTGTTTTTCTTTCTGCGGTTTTGCAAACAGCTGCTGCTCAAGCACAAAGATAAAACAGCAGTTTTCCTGATGTAAAGATGAGACCAGAGCCCCGATAAAGCACCCAGTGTGCAGTCTTTGTTGCCTTTAATGGGCCTGCACTCGGGGATGGAGGTGGTGGAGGTTATCGGATAAGGGTCAGCGATCTCCTGCTGGGCGGCACAAGATTGGGTTCCTGGCTCTTTAATCCGTTTCTCAGCGTCTCTTTCACAACCGCCCTCCTCCTCTTATTCACCTGCTGTCCATCTGCTTGCCTGGCAGGATTTCGAGGCCTTTTACATGTATTTTTTATTGGAAACCTTAATTAGTGATGCAGCAGGAACATCCATCACACAGAAATATGTTTACTTATGTTTTCCCACTTACTTTTAAGCATGTAAACACAAATAAAAATGCACAAATGAGCCTGATAAAGGCATTGAAAGTTTTTTAATTCCTTACATCTGCAAAGTTTATTTTTAACAGTACATTAAGTAACATTGGCACATACATTAAAAATCTGCACCCTAACATGTTTTGCAGTTGGCTTTGTTTGTTTGGAGGATTACATAGTAATTCATGGACAGATTTGCATGAAAATGCCACAAAATGTGGGGCTCGGTCCACTGTGAGATGGGACAAAATTAGACATTTCATCCATAGACACAAACGATTATTTTGATAGTCGACTAGTCATTGATTATTTTTGCGATTAGTCGACTAATCAGATCATCATCCATTGGACGTAAAACGTACATCTTATTGCAGCAGCAGCATCTGCTCTTATATAACTATGATTAGCTTACAGCTTGAAGTGTTTAAGGTCTGTGCTAACTAAAAATAAAGACAAGATGATAGTTTATTAAACTGTTAATTAAATCTGCAGATTGTCTCAGTGAAGTTTAATAATAAACTCAGCCGTCTGCTACCTTGATATCTAAGATATAACAGGACATGTCACACTTCTGCTCAATCAGTTTTCTGTGTGTCGTTTATTCAGCTGTGTGAAAACTATAACTTTAATCTTTAAGCAGTTTTCTGTTCCACTTGTGCAGGTCTGCTGTTTTTGTTTTTCGATTGCATTTGAATGAACTCATTCTTTGTAGTTAAATTACTTTACTTCTCTCTCATTACTTCACGAGTAAGGAAGTGTGATGTGTATATGAAACTTTCTAAGGTACACTTAAGTCACTGTTGCTGAGCGTTAGTAATTATTTCAAGTGCTTTCACATATGGGGACCTCAATTAGGACCTGACTCAGTAGAGCAAGAAGCAAAGCTGATTAAACGAGCTGGAGACATGCAGTTCTCTTTCTCTTGTCATTAGAATTAACTTTGATTACCTGATAGCACTGCTGTTTCTGTGTGCGGCAGTGCGAAGTGATGCTAGGAGCTGGTTTTGAGCTCCTCCCCCGAGGTCTCCTCACATACCTGAAACGGCTCACCTTGGAGGCATCTGGGTCAAATGCCTGCATGTCATATATCCTCCTGATGTGGAGGAACAGCTCTACACTCTTTCGGTCTCTACTCACAGCTTGTGGCTGCTGGTGAGGGTGTGAATGTTGACCGACCAGTAAATCACCTGGAAGGTGTTGTTGGGATAAACTCAATTATCCTGAATACCACATTTGGACAGATTTTGGAATAATTGGACAAAAAGTTTGGACAAAAATATTTGAAAAGGTGTGGGAAACATCTGTTTCGAACTTTCTTTTACATTTATTGGGTCTTCAGTGTTCTTCACATTGAGTTGTTGTTGTTTTGTTATTGACTGCCCCCATGAGTCTACTCTTAATCCAAAGCCTTCTCTGATTTAGTTGGATCTCTTTTTGCCACTCCAGTGAAACCAAGTTGGCTTGAGGAGAGTGATTGCTCATAAATCCTCTGCTTCCAGGATGTGCATGGTATTTGCTTTGCAGGCCTGTTTCTAGGCTATTCCTCTGCACCATCAGTTTCATTGGGATGATGTTCTAGGCGGCCTCTAACACTACAGTTGTGGTTGAGTTTTGCTTCGGACGGTTTCCTGTCTGAGTGAAATGATCGAGCCATTATAGCAGCTGTCTGAATTCTCACATTACTAATAACTCCTATAGCAGAAGAGACACTGAAGTGTCTTTTATTAACGGAAAGACGGTAATAGCATGCACCGTCCAACTAAACAGGAAAATTAATGATCAACATTATGTAAATGGCTGCTGCTGTGTCTTCCACTGCATACCATAACCTTCTAATAGGCAGATGCATTTGTAACTTTAGATTTTCATTTTAAGCCCACATGCAAACTACAGATGTTACACTATGACAATAAAATCTGGTTTCTATAAATTATTTTCCTTTTGTGAAGCACTTTGAAAGCCACGTCTTTCTTTTTAACTCCAACTGCTGTCGTAAAGTGATGTTTTTTACCACATTGTCCACCTTTACCCCTCCAAACAGATGTGGCGTAGGAAGATTTATTACTTTAGAGGCCTTAAAGCAGGTACTTAATACACAAACGGCTCATAATTAGTGATATTAGATTTTAGAATATGTGTCCCAGATACAGGAAACAGTATAACTATGATAAACAGAATTAGAGCCGTTAGAGAAGCATCCCTGTATAAATTTATTATGATTACAGTCACTAAAATACCTCAGTGAAGCTAAACGTCCGGCACAAAACATCAGAGTAAGAAGACGTGGCAAACTGCACCTCCTGCACCTCATTAAGTTTTCATTTGAGGTGAGGGTAAAATGATTAGGAAAACACACGTGAGGTCATTCAGTGCAAGTGATGGAAATTTTCCATGACTTCAAACTGACAAACGTCCTCATTTGTATTCAGTCTGTTCGCAGATTACCTGCGTGAGCTAAAACAGCCTGAATGAGGTGTTATTCTTTCTCCGTTCTTTCCTCAGGTCGAATTCTCTTACCCGCCGCTGATGCCAGACGAGGGTCATGACAGCAACCTGCTCCCAGAAGAGTGGAAGTACCTCCCGTTCCTGGCTCTTCCTGACGGAGCACACAACTACCAGGAGGGTACGGCACAAACTCACTTTGTAATTAAGTCTTATGAAGTCTTACAAAGATCCCGGTGTTACTTCATTTGCAGAGTGCTGACAGATTGTTTACAAATGGAGCATTTTTCTGCTGAGACTTCAAACATGCTTTTGAAGCTTGAAGCTTTGCTTATGGGCCTGTGTAGAGTTTTCATGTTCTCCACTTGTCTCCAGGTACTCGAGCTTCCTAGCACAGCCCAAAGACGTGTGTTACAGTCACTGGTTATGTGAATGTGAACACGAATAGTTGTTTATCTCTTTGTGTCAGTCCTCTGTTTGTTGGGCGGGCTGTACCACGAAGCAGGCCGTAACATTCATCAAAAGGCATCAAATTACTGACAAGATTTTGTGTGAATAAAGTGCTAAAACATGAATAATTGGAGGCCTCAGATACCTGCTGGTTATTATGCCAATAAAACAGGGTTTAAATCACTGTTATTAAAGTTTGTTATTGAATTTCCAAAGTGTGGGAATGAGTCAGCAGGTGCTTCTCACACAGGTGATAAAATCATGATTGTCCTCCAGTGATTTTAAAAGGCTGGCGTCACTTCTGTAAACAGAGAGGTGGGTGTGAGCGATAGTGAGTGGCTCGCCTGTTGTGGCTGTGGTCATGTGACGGGCCCGTGCTGACCTGTGAAGGCAAATAGCAGGAACCGAGCCAAGGTTCATATCTGTAGTTTCAACTTCAAAAACTACACTCATCAGCATGGAGAGTTCTCACTTCCTGCTCAGAGCCGTCAGCTGTTTGTTGGTCAGCTCGGTGATTCAGCAGTGAAAAAACGAGCGCTTCGTGTAACAGAGACTGCTGTTACACAACGAGACTGATTGGTAAAAGTATCCAGGATATTAAGGAACAGCTTGAAATAATACATTTAATTTAGTGAGTTATGTTTCTGGACTTCAGTTTTCATCACTTTTAAAGGGCTGAAAAACCCAGATTTGGATTCTGGGGTCACTTGCTTTACTTTAATATTAAATATCATTAGAAACTGCTTTGTTAGGTTTATTAAAATATGGTCTGGATAAAAAAAATTTTGTTTTTTCCCAAGTCGAGAGCTGTGTCCAGAAGAGCAGGGCCTGGGGAGGCGCATACTCTTTGAAATATGTTTAATAGAATAAAATTTTAAGTAGTATGCAGATATCTGCAGAGTGCCACTGGCCTATCCCCAACAAATGTCACTGGGTTGGGACCATTGCTGCAACATAACTGGGTGTATTTACTCAGATTTGTCATGCGGCGTGTTACACATGTGACTTACATGTGAAAAATCCCCAGTTTGCGACTGGGAGGAGACACAAACACAACCTCAGGGCTCAAAGGGTGGTGCCAGGCCCAAGCCCAAATAAATGGGTGAGTTGTATCAGAAAGGCATTTGTGCTTCATCAAACATGCGGGTGTTGGCCTCTGCTAAGCCCAAAAGTACTTTCTGCTTTACTGAAGTACAGCTTTAATATACTTTTGATGTTTTTCTTTCTTATTATTTCATCTTCTACTTTTTTCTACTACATTATTAAAGCAAATACTGTAATTTGTACTCTGTACCATTCATTTTACAGTGGTGTAGTGGTCAGTAGTCAGCACTGATGCATCACAGTCAGGAGGTTCCTGACTGGAGCCCTGAATGTTTTCTCCACGTACTCTGACATCCTCCCGCAGTCCAAAGGCGTGTAATAAATAATGGATGAATGCATGATTACATTTGGCTTTCCTAAACTGCCCAGCAGTATCTAAAGTAATTACAATCATCTCCAGCTGCAGCTTTAATGAATCAATAAGTATTATCCAGTAATAATGTACATGCAGCTGCATAATGAGTAACTAATGCAGGAGGGCTCATTGCTGCATGAGCTTTGACAGTTTACACTGGTGCTACGTCTGATCAATTATTCTGACTTCCTGTGAGCCCCCCTGCTGTCTCCCCGAGTCTAAAAAGTCTCCCTTGAATACATATCAGCCTGAGCTCCACTCGCACAGTTTTCGCTGTAGAGAAATCTCTGGATCGGTTCCTTTGTTGCCTCCAGCGTGTTGTGAACTGATTAAGAAACAACAGCAGCTGCTTCTGTGAAACACTAAAAGCAAACAGAGTCTCCTGCACATGTTTGGCACGGGAAAATCACCAGTCTCATAAAACTATTTCAAAGCAGCTTTCTTAAGCTATCGCATCCTCGCACAGGAGATCCAGTCAGTAAAAAAGAAAGATGGTGATCTAGTGCAGCAGAATCTGCTGTGTTGAGCAGAGACATGAGAGCTGGATCCTGGCATATCACAGCTGCTTGGTTGGGTTTGACGTACGGAGAGTGTGGCCTCTGCACAGATGCCCCCGCCGTTGCCTCTTCTTTAATCTGTGACGTCCACAGTCTAACCTCTGTGACCCCACTGTCGTCTTGTTCAGAGGAAATACTAGTCACGTTGTGAAATCCTCCTCAGCCCCCCTCCTCAGACTGAATTGAGTTGAGCCCTGAAGTTTTATTGGAGTCTCTTCCTTTCCCCATCATCTTCTTAATGACAGAGGACAGCTGTCGTGTCGCTGCAGTTTCTAATCTTTGTGCTTTTGATTGATGACTGACGTTGTTTCTATATTGGTAAATATCTCCCAGTGAGTGTAGAAGAGGAATCAGGTTGTAAAGCACATGATTTTTGGACTCCCAGTCCAAACCTCTCAGTAATGAGAATTTCTCCTTTTGAATTCCTTATAAACCATAATCATAATGATTTATCTTGGAGGTTTTTTTTGGGTGAATTTATGTGTTTTTGAAGTTCTCTTATGCT